CCCCAAAACCCCAAAACCCCGTCTTAAGTGAATATACAGTCTTTAAATGAATTAATATCAATAATAATTTAATAAATATGCAAATGAATTCTTAATTGTATTAGATCATTCCTCAATAAATCAAGAGATACAGCTTTGTAAGAATATTAGGACAGGGATGAAATGGAATAGTCTGTTTATATTAGTGCCAAAATGTAAAATATGCAATCAAACTGGAAGATTCAAGTAGCAGGGCATATTTGAAGAATGAGCAGCAAATACTAAAGCTGCTTAATGAATCTCAAGCTTAGATTGGTCAAAAATCATTTTTCCCAAAATTCTTCGAATCTGGATTTATTAAGCCTTTCAACTATATAGTTATGGAATATCTAGATGAACAAATTAAGTTGGATATTAGAAATTCAAGTGAAATAAAGGAGTTGACTAAATAATGCTTCCAAGCAATAAGAGCTTTCCATAGTATTGGATACATTCATAGAGATGTTAGACTAGAAAATTTTCTCTAGCAAAATGGTTAGCTTTATCTCATTGATTTTGGATCTGCCTCTGAATATATGATTGATAACACATTAAAACCCCTTGTATTTAATTAGTAATAAGAAGTCAACATGATTACTGCTTCTTTTAATTCTCTTGCTGGATTTTAAAGTGGAAGAATCGATGATTATATTTCAATCATAAATAGTATGCTGCTAATTTGTTAGTAGGATAGTCCACTGCGTTTCAATTTACCTGATTTAAATGATGATGTAATGAGAGGTTTAGTTTATTAGTAGAGATTACAACTAAGGGAGGAAGATTTTGATAATGATTGTGGTAAAAGACTTTTTAGAATTCATAAGCTCTTAGTGGAGACCTATTTCGATTAGTACAATGAAATTCATCTTAAAGATTTTGAGATTGACTAATTAATTGAAAAGATAGATGAGCCTATAGATCCATCAATCAGAGCTATATGTATTCCTTAGATTGTACGAATCAAGAAGCCTTTAAAGTCATCTTTATCCTCAAATTAAATTGTACAAACGGATATAATTTATAAATAAGAGACTTGATCCTAAATTTAACCTCGAACTTATTCCAATTTTGAAAGTTCTAATAATTTTTAGGAAAATAATGAATTAAATAAAAAACATAAAATCTAACAATGGAGTAAGGAATAGGAAGAGTTTTCTATGCAGTACTATTGTAATTAGTATTAGGAATTTGAATTAGTAGTAAACAAAGATAAAATTTTAACAAAAAGAGTAAAAAAATAACATTCTTCTAAAAATTATAATTCAAGTGTGTCAACTGCGCCTTCAGCAAAGCTTTAGTAATATTCAAATGAAGAGTATAAATAAACTTAATTATTTTAGGAAAGTTCTTCTGAAGATCTGGAGAGTTAATTGAAATAACAGATAATCAAAAATATCCAATTAAATGTTAAAAATGATGCAATAATTGTACCTAAATAGTTATTAAGGCATATAGCTCAGAATAAAAATAGTCTTAATAATCTCGAAACAGGCATATACAATATTCTTAGCGAACACTAAAATGATTGTGAATTAATTAGCAAATCAACTATAAGCATAGAGGAATTGGCAGAATCCTTGAATAAAATTAAAAGAAATTTAGGTGAAATATAAGATACTCAAATAAATGATTTACCTCAAAAATTGAAACATGAAAAATAAATGTTTTAAGAATTGCTTGATCCACTTAAATTACCCCTAATATTTAACTAGGCTAGTACAAATATTAAAATTGCAGTAAATTTTATTAATAACATTATCTCAACACTTAAAATAGTTGAAAGTAGATATTTTAAGAATTACAATGAAAAATGCAATGAAACTATCAAAAGAAATTAACTTAAAGATTGGCAGACAAGTTTCTGACTAACAATAGAATATCTTATCTTAAAATACAAATAATTATCCTCATTCATAAAACCCTATTTCAGGTGATTTTAATAGGTAAAGTTCTAAGTTTGGAGAAGAAGGATGGGATAGTTCAATCAATAATGATTCTGCCAGAAGAAATGAACTCTCATAAATGAAAATAGTCTTAAATTTAGACATAATTATAAATAAGTAGGAGTAGTAACCTTATTCAATTCCAGATACACTAATGGATCAAACAGATTAATTGAGAATAATAGAGGATGATAATTAATTATCCAAAGATTAAGATTATTATAGCAGTATAGATTAGGAGACTCCGAAATCTAACGATGATCAACCATTCTCTTAATAAGATGAACATACAGAATAACCAAATCGATTCTAAAGTTTCAGAGAGGAATAATCATATTTAAATGAATAAGCTTCCTACTAAAACTCAATATCCAATGAATCTTAATTAATTCTATAAAATAAAGAAACTTTAAATTAAATGCAGAAGAAGTATCCTACCTCAGAATAATTAACTACTGAATCACATGATTAAATTCAGAATAAGTACAATGAGTAGGATTAGATAACTTAAAATTTAATTGATTTTACACCTTAAGATAAAGAAAATTAAAATAAAATAACATCACCAAGTAATAAAATCGATGATAATTATGGAATGGATTGTCAAACTATAAAATGTTAGCAAGAAGAGCTCAAAATAAATGAATAAAATTAAGAATCAATTATTATTTCACGTCTATATTTATCCAAGCCAGATATAATGAGAGAATAGGGCAGAATAACTGATAATAAGAATATATAAAAATCTCAAGATTTTAATACCCCTGATTCACTTTATGTGAGTGGAAGTGGGTAAAGGTTTAAATATTCTAATCAAGATTAAGTCCATTTTGGGAGTATTAATAAAATTTTAAAGGAATAGTCATTGGAAAAGAGCTATAGAAGCAAATATTCTTTGAAAGTTAAAGATCAGAATTTTAAAAAAATTTCTTCCAATATTTCAACGAATGTTAAAGAGAACAATAAGGATAATATATTGTCCTAACCTAAAAAAGAAAGGTCGTTTCTAAGTTATTTCTTTTAATGAAGCAAATGAAAAAACAGATTTGAGTGAGGAGGTTATTAGAATAATAATGCATTGAACTCCGTTAAGAATTCTATGATTGTAAGATTATTCTTAGTGAAGTCAGCTCCAAAATTCTGATCAAACCAAAAATAAGAGATCATTATAAAATATAGAAGTTAGAAATTATGAATCTTATTTATTTTGTAAATAAAATATTAGAAGATTTTGATTTGAATTTTTAATTATCTCTTAACTAGTATAAATATTAGCAAGTGGGGTTTTGGGGTTTTGGGGTTTTGGGG